TGCGGAAACTTAGGTAATAATAGTAGCACCATCCCGACACAGCCCAAACCGGGGTGTCACAAGTCACGAGCATCTATTAAAGTATTAATACAACTACGAAGTCTTAAGTATACAAAATATGACTGATAAACAAAAGGAAGAAATGCGATGCTGCGAACGCTGGCAGTCACCTCGCTAAACTCCGATAACTAAGCCTCCGATCAGCTCAATCCCGCTACCGGGGAAACAAATACCTGCATCTGCACGCGAGGTGCAGGGAGTAAAGTGAGTACTCCAACCCAGTAAGTAATAAGAGTAAATAAAGACTGAGCAGTAGAAAACAATGAATCCACATTCACGTTAGGCTCAATAACACAACAGGCCTTCAAATCATAATACGAGTCAACCTTCCTTTTTAAAATTCAACTTTTAGTAAAAATCATTTTGAAATACCTCCCAGCAGTTTCATTAGGGGTTCAATACCATTTAAAAGAATAATAGCGATTAAAGCCATAATCGGCCCCTTGGGCAAAGCATAGTTCGTAAAACAGCCCCTCGGGCAAAACAGCAATCATAAACACTTCATAACTTGAAAATCTCGGTGGAAATAACCAAATGCCAAATTAGTGATTAATTTCTGAACATCCCATAAACTCCAGTTTAAATAAAGGTTGTTTTAAAACATTTGTTCAACTTTCCGACAGAGGCTCAATATAAAGATGAGTGAAAACAGTCGATAAATCAACATATTCAATAGAAACTCACTTTAAAGGGGAGTGAAATCAATAAGTTCATAAACAGGCCTCTCAGGCAAACATCTCATATGCATGTATATAATTATCGCCCCTCGGGCTAGACTCTCTGCCACTCGTGACTCAACTCTTACCAATCAGAACTCGTACTCAGCATTTACGCTCAATAGGTACCATATAGTAACCGTTGTGGCGTGCAGCCCAATCCATATATCGCTGCGGCGTGCAGCCCGATCCATATAAGTATCGCTGCGGCGTGTAGCCCGATCCATATATTTCATCGACGACGCTCACTAGGGGTGTGCAGACTCCGGGAGGGGCCCCTTACGGCCCAAGCGCAATATTGCTCGGCGTGCAGCCCGATCCATATACATACATATATATATATATATATACATTGCTGCGGCGTGCAGCCCGATCCATAGATATATAATGCTCACAACTAGGCCCTCGGCCTCTCTCAGTCATTAACCTCACCATCAGACTCTTAGTCTATCTCAATCATAAATCTCATAGTTAGACCCTCGGTCTATCTCAGTCATCATCTCACGATCACTCGGACCATCAGTAAAACAGGGAGCGCAGCCCAAAACAGTTTCCACATGTTTAAGAATATAGCGATAAAGCCAGATTTGAGTAATAAACAGGTAAAACATGACTGAGTATATGCTTCCAAACAAGTAGAATGAGAAAAGATAGTACAAATGCCCCTAAGGGTCTTAACAAGTCGGCACAAGGCCCCAAATATGGTATACAACCCAAGATATAATGGTATCAAACAATTAACTATCAAGTGCGCATTAAAATAATCGCTCGGGATGGACTAGGTCACAATCCCCAGCGCTGCTCTACCCCACGCTCGTCATCTAGCGTGTAAGTCACCTCAAAGTAACACAACGATGCGTAATCCGGGGTTTCAAACCCTCAGGACAGTATTTACAATCATTACTTACCTCAAGTCGGCCAAATCCTAGCTTGCTATGCCCTTGCCTCGCAAATTGACCTCCTCGCGCGTCGAATCTGATCAAAACCACAACGAATACGTTACAATAGGCTAAGGGAACATTCCCCAATCGAAAAGACTCGAAAAATATCGAAATTCATGAAATTTGCAAAAACCCGAGCCCCGGGCCCACTTCTCGAAAATCAGAAAATTTAACATCATCGGATTCCTTATCTCGCCACGAGTCTATACACACCAAAAACTCTCAATTCGGACCACAAATGGCCCCTCAAATTTCAATTTTAAATCTTAAAATCCCAAGCCCTAGTTTCTTTCGATTTAGCCAAATTCTCAAGAATTTCAAGGATAATTCCACAATATAATCGTGTTTTTAACTCATAAAACTTACCTCCAGTCAATCTCCTTCGAATCCCCCTTCAAATGCTCCCAAGTAGCTCCCACAATGCTCAAAAATGGTGAAAAATTAACTTAGCCTCGCTGAACAAAAATGATTTAAAAGAACCCTTCTGCTCAGACCTTTTCCGCTTCCGCGGTTAAACAACCGCTTCCGCGACACCGCTTCTACGGCAAAAGTTCCGCTTCTGCGGAAGGCCCCCAGGAACCGCTTCTGCGACTCAAATTCTGCACTAGCGGTACCGCTTCTGCGGTCAACCTCCTGCTTCTCGGAAGTCCACTTAAAGTCCAAATCTCGCTTCTGCGGCCTCCCTTTTGCACACGCGACCTCGCTTCTGCGGTCCAAATTCCGCAGAAGCGGAAATACCAGAAGCAGCACACTTTTTCCCTTTTTACAAGTTCAAAACTTCCCGTTAACCATCCAAAATCACCCCGAGGCCCCCGGGACCTCATCCAAAATTACCAACACCTCCCATAACATCATCCAAACTTGTTCCAATCATTAAAACACCTCAAATAACACCAAAACCCTCAAATTACATCGAGTTCAAGTTTAAGTTCTTCAAAAACTTCCGAAACACGCATTCGATCAAAAACCCAACCAAAACACCTCCGAATGACCTGAAATTTTACACACACATCCCAAATCACTTAACGAAGCTACAGCAACTCTCGGAACTCCATTCCGACCCTCGGATCAAAATCTCACCTATCAACCGGAATTCGCCAAAATACTAACTTCGCCAATTCAAGCATAATTCTACACCGGACCTCCAAAACCAATTCTGATCACGCTCCTAAGTCACAAATCACCTAACGAAGCTAACCAAATCATAAAAACTCCAATCCGAGCTCATATACAAATAAGTCAACCCTTGGTCAAACCTTTCAAACTCGAAGCTTTCAACTGAGACTGTTCCTTCAAATTTCATCCCCATTCTCCTGAAAACCAAAACCAACGATCTACATCAGTCATAATACATTACACGGGGTAAGTCATGCCCGGGAACTGGCGATCAAAGTGTAAATGCTCAAAAAGACCGGTCGGGTCGTTACAGAAATATGACTGGAACAGTGGAAGAATGATGTTAGTCATTGTTTACCTCGAAAATACGAGTAACAATTAAACTTGATTTATGGTTTTAAAGATATGTGATTTAGTTCAATACTAATTAATAACCAAGCAATCTAACGTATAAATGAGAGGAATAAGTAAAATCAAACCAGTGTGCAAGCCAGTCTCGACCTCGAGCTAAGGTGGCCTCGAGGTAGGTCAAGAACAATAAAGTAAGAATAATAAAGTTAAAGGACAATTCTGGTGAGCAATGATCAAGAAAGTAAGAGAGTATATTCTTTTGCCAACGATTGATGATCGTTACAAAATGATTGGGGTCCCCATTATGTAATAGGGGAACCCTAAATAAGGTACATTTCTATTTACAGTAAAGAATCTTATTAGGACAGCTGTCTAACCGCGTAGTACAGATTAGTACTAACTCGTGCAAATCTATTCCGGGATTTACGCCACGATCTTGGGGACATGGCAGGAATCTAGTTCATTCTATTACAAACCCATAACGGCATTATCTCGGGGTTGTTCACACTGGGCTCCGACGTTCCTCGAACACTTAGATCTTCGAGCCTCACGTTCTGCCCTCGGGCTCGAACTCGATCCATAGTGAGTCTATTCCTCGACACGAGCCTTCTATTCCTCGATGTGAGCCTTCGAGCCCACAAGATCGGGTGCACATGATTTTACCGTATACAGTCATCACTTTATAATTTCACCATGCAAAAGGCAGAATTTATATCAATTAATTGAAAAATCTTCCGGGAAAGAGAGAGAGAGAGTGACCACTTGATTAGTGAAACTCACTATGTATATATGCAGAAGTAACTGAAAACATGATAAATATACAGATACATATCCACACATATATAGACACACATACACAGAAGCAAATCCAGAATTTAAATTTTGAAGATTTTTCACATATATTTATACTTTGCGATGAAATACTGAGTTCAGTCAAATCCGTATTGACAAGTTACGTCCGCCACTGCCTGTATTGAGTCTAAATCCTGAACTTGTCTATGCCTTCGAACATTGTTCACAGGACTTGCCGAACATTTGTATACGGCATCTGCTTCAACGGAATTCTGATGTTATAGTTTGTGTCTGCTTTGCACCCTGTATAACCAAAAGAAATTGATACCATCCTACCCCACTCCCTATCAATAGGGGATTTATAGTGTTAGTTATGGGACTCATGTGAATCTAATAGTTTTTAATTAAGAAATTCACTAAATATCTGTAACTATATAATTGTGAATTCATTTATTATTTTATATTAATTTAAGGCTGTTTTTTTAGGAACCGAAAAATTTTAAATCTTAGATCCACCTCCGCCCGTCGATAGACAAATATTGTCCAGTAATAGAAACGTGGAGAATAGGTTAAGGTTTTCAAATTTATTTGTATGCTTTAATATGCACTAAACAAGAACTTATGCCCACAGAAATATTATTCGTTGAGTGCAAAAGTTGGTAAAGAAAATAATATGCCTGCCTCGTGCTATTTTATACAAGCATCTGGGTCGGCAAATGATGTAAGGTCATTCAAGAATTTGCAGTAGTACTTAAGTCGACAGATTCCACTTAAAGTTCTTTATTGTATAAAATACTCAATTGCTAAATCAATCAAATAATCTCTCGAAAAGCATGCATTAATATTTCAGAAGATCAATTTGAAATAAAGCTTCTTTTTACTAATACGTTCTTTCCCTTTCTGGATCACAATAAAAGGTTTAATTTTAAAAAAGCATTGTTCCACATTGATTTAGTTAATAATCTGAATAAAGTAATACCTTTTTGGGTTTAGATTAAGCTTCAAACTTAAAAAACTTTCAATAATGACAACCTTGTGTGTGAAAACTTACATGGAAAGCTCAAGAACGTACAAAGGAATATTTGGCCTTTAAGCAACCTTTGTTCCAAGCAATTCTAAAACTTTTCACTTTATGGCTAATTCGAAAGAGTACAGTCTTTATTTTTTGTCTTCTGTACCATCCATTAATTTTGAACTTGACCAAATTGATCTTCCTGTTGTTGCTGGAATGGCTGTGACTCATGCAGATCTTGCACCAAGTCGCCCTAGTACCAATTTAGGTAGCAAAATGGGTGCATTTCTTATGGTCTTGTCAATACTTCTTGGCCTCCTCTGCTTCATTCTCTCCCTCATTGCCGAAGCCACGCGTTCTCAGGTAGGGTTTCTTTTTCGTATTTAACTTATATACACAGACGGTGTAAAAGAAAGAACTGTATGCTATAATTGTGTCTTTAACATATTGCAACATGTAATTTACTTTATAGTTATCTTTTAGGTGACCTGTTTTTTGTAAAAATTGTTTTGTACCACCAATTTGTAGAAGTTAAATTATGCTACATAATTTCTCTCAAAAAGATGTACCACAATTTCTGTTGAAAACAGGGAAAGGTTCATGAAAGAAGGCTAAGTCTGAGATGAGTAGTCACCAAAGCCAAAGAAGTTAATTTTAGTTGAAAACATCTTTTAGAACAGTGAATTGTTGCATATTGGAATTGAATAATAATTATGTTAAATGGAAATTGCAGGTGATTTTGAGTGGGAAAGGAGGAGGGACAAATGAATGCACATATAGTGGTAGTGGGAAAACACCTCTATTGTGTGCTTCTGCTGCATTTTTGGCTCTGGCTATTGCCATGGTGATTGAGCACACATACTTGTTGATTGTTGTGAGCAAAGCAACTCCTCCTCATATACTTTATTGGGATCCTCATTCTGATTCTCTCAACACACTTGTTTGGCAAGCTGGCTTCTTCTTTGTTTCCACATGGTATGTGTAATGTCTCCTTTCCTTCTACTCATCTCAAAATGATGTTAACATATAACTTGAGATATGAGAAAACTAGGGGTGTCAAATAGACAGGTTGGGCCGATTTTGGGCGGGTCAAAATGGGTTGAGTCAATAAATATGCGGGTCATTGACATGTTTAAAAATTACTTGGGCTGAGGTGGGCTGGGTCAAGATGTACTAAAATTTGGATCCTAACCCAACCCGTCAAACTCTTACTAAGCTTTAATTAATATGTGTTGTTTTAGTATGAATTGTATAATTACTAAATAAGTGTTATGAAATAATAAAAGAAGAAGAAGAATATTGCAGAGAAAAGTAGGGAGAGAGAATTCTTATTAATTTTGAGATGATTTACAATGGAATGGAATCCTTTATTTATAGGGAGAGGGTGACTTAGCCACCAAGTAATAAACCCTAGAATCTCTCTAAATATAGACATTCACCATAAATAAAATTCTATTTATAACACTCCCCCCCCCCCCTTGAATGTCTATTCAACAGATAATGTGTCTCGTTAAAACCTTAATTAAAATAAAACCCAGCGGGAAAAAATTCTTAGAGAAGGAAAAAGAGTACACATATCTACAATACGTCTTTTGGTTGCCTCGTTAAAAACCTTGCAAGGAAAACCCAGTGGGACAAAACTTGTAAGGGAAAAAGAGTACAACGCGTATTAACTCCCCCTGATGAGAGCATCAATTCACATCCTTGAGCTTTCGCATTCCAATCATGTGCATCATCTTCAAAAGATCGTTGGTAGAGATTTGATAAATAAATCAGCCATATTAACTTGAATGAATATGTTGCACCTTGAAATCATTCCCGATAGCGATGAATTGTCTTCATATGATCTTGTTGGAATCGTCAGTTCAATATCATCACATAGGGGCAAAAACTCATGCTATCATATTATCATGCGTATAATTATAGCAGGATACATTTGTATACAAATTGCACTGAGGATGTGGTACTTTAAGATCAAGAATTGTATATGCTTTAAGCAATTTAAATCCTTCATGGATTGTCATATAAGTTAAGCCATATAAGTCATATAATAGACTTTCATTAGATGCATATCAAGTTTTCATGTCATGCTAGACAAATAAGATATCGAAAACTGATTGCACATACCATTGACTTTATACTTTCAAGTATTTGAACTATATGTTCAAAACTACATGTCTTTCATATGAAACCAATTCTATTCGAAATTGTTTCTCCAGACTTAAGATCCTCATATTATATTTAACGCTATCATAGATGTCGTCGACGAACATTTTATATCGGTTCCAACCTCCTTATTTTTCATAAAGACATAACATAGATCTTCATTCATATATTCAGGTACCTGAATCTCTCCTGAGATTTTATGAAGTGTTATGTCATGTGACCTTCTAGATCACTTGCCTCCTTTATTATGATCATTTTCTCATCTTCTTTATCAAAAAGTTTATTTAAAACCGATTTGTCTATACGCTTTAAGCGTACCATAGACTTTGTCCTTCTAATTCTAATAGGAGCATTTGCAGTGAGAATATAGTTACTTTCTTTGGGTCAGCAAATGCGTCTGGCATGCTTTGCAATATATTGCAAATGAATTATCTTTTTATGAACTTCAAATTCATATTATCATATTCGAGGTTCTAGATATACAAATGATAATTCATTCCACGTAACTTTTTCTCAATTGTTTATCCTGTCTCCCCCTCATGTTAGAAAAACTAACTTGTTTCCTCAACTTTGAGAACCCATCTTTGTGCGTTATGGTGTTAATCGAAATATACACCGCACATCAATAATAATAAGATGGAATTATTTGGTTACTGACCCTGAACCACTTGTGAGGGGAGAAAATAGTATACTTTCGAACGTATATCAAACAAATATATATAACTTTGTTCTCATAAGAAATAGTTTAGCTATTAAGTGGAGGCACTCAATAAATCATTTTGCTAAACCAACTGTGATGTAAACCAACTTATCAAGATGACCTTCTTGAATAAAAATTTTGAAAATTATGCTCGAAATTAAATTATTGAGCAAGTTACCTCGCAAAATACCTTTTTGCGGGTTAATAATAATCGCACATGTAATCATCTCATAGATGCATCTTATATGGTATACATGGCAGATGAATGGGCACATATTCACCTTTGAAATTTCCAGCATTCATGGGATTCAATCCCAATTTTAGTTGGTCAATTAACTAATGAGAACAAGTAATATAAGAGAATTCATAAAGAACTTTCTAGTTCTTTAATATTTACCCATGTGAATTCTCTATTATTTTTGCATATCATACTTAAATTGATATGAGTAAACCAATTATGCCAACTGAATAAATTATCAATATTGATAAACTTTATATTTACACCATGACGTGTGCAATTATTAATAAACTCCAAGTTTATTATGATATGAGTTTTTATATCAATAAACATCCACTTTATTGTGGTATTCGTTTATTTGTGTAGTACAAACTGGAGAAAAGCGGGTAACTTTTCACATGCATATTATCCCGCTACAAGTTGTAGTAATAGAAGATATTAAATCTTTCCTTTGTTTATAGTCTCAATATAATCAACCGTTTGCGCGTATACTTTGGAAACTGAATAAGTTTCTTTGAGACTTACTACAACACAATACCTTATTGGTAATCAATTGTGTTTCTCCAAAATAGTATAATTGGCTCTTGCAGAGTTCTCAATTAATTTTGTAGTACCACATATTCATCAACATCCATATGGTGAATATCTCTTTTAAAGAGAAAGTTATACCATTATGGTTATGGTCAAAATTATAAGCACGATCTGTTTCTTGCATTACCGTTGTCTTTCACAATGCCAAAATATTTTGGCGTACAATAAGTACGTGACCAATGACCATTTATGCCATAATAATGACATTATTTTCTTATTTCCCCTCAAACCTCCTTCTAGAGGTGAGTGCGGTATATACCACTAGCACGCTCATATTCTTCCAAAAATGAATATGTATTCATAAATCACATGTTGTCACATTCATATCATGAATGGACCATAATCATTTATATGTGCTTTACAAAATCTCATGTCAAATTGATGACAAACATTACTTTCACAAAGTGAAGAATTATTTGGGAATCCTTATTGTTCTCATTACCACAATGATGACGATTATAATTTCGTCTATTGCCACGTCCACATTCATTGATACCTTCACGGTAATAATTTTGTCTTCTTTCAGACTTATTACATATTGCTACCACATTCTCTTAATGGAATGAGAATGAAGCAAATTCAATGGGACGGGTTTCCACTTCTTTGCCCACAATCATACATGAGTTTGATCATGGCAAGACATATAAATTTTACCATTTTAGGTGGTTATAATTTCTTACAAACTCCATTAGAGTTATAATCAAACTTTGTTGTCTTTGCTTGTATATAAAATCAAATTACAGAATAAAAGAGAAAAATAAAGTAAAATACTTACCTTAAATCCAGAATTTAATCATGAAGGAATTTCATGGAACAATTAACAATCATTATGCTCAATCCCAAAGCTTCTACTCAATTGGTTTGAGTCTCGTGCTGATAACGTGTTATAAACTAATAAAAGAAGAAGAAAAATATTGCAGAGAAAAGCAGGGAGAGAGAATCCTTATTTATTTTAAGATGATTTACAATGGAATAGAACCCTCTATTTATAGGGAGAGGGTGACTTAGCCACCAAGTAATAAACCCTAGAATCTCTCTAAATATAGACATTCACCATAAATAAAATTCTATTTATAACAATAATACTTTTTTTCTTTTGTTATGGTCATATATAACATAACAAATAAAAAATATTATTTCTAAGATATTTTGGCAAAGCTACTCATGGATTGATTTGGGCTAAAAATCAGCCAAACTTTAAATGAGTTGAGATAGATTGGATCAAGATGGGCTAGGTTTAATAAAAGGGGCGGGTCAATAACCAGCCCAACCTTGGACCGGTTGAACTAGGGCTGTGCACGGATCGGATCGGATCGGATTTAGCATATTTCGGATTCGGATTTCGGATTCTAGAAAATGCAATCTGAATCCGATCCGAATTATATCGGATCGGATCAGATTTTAAAGTTTGGATCGGATCGAATTTCGGATCGTATTATTATGCCTCAAAGTTAAACTAATATGTATATTTTCTTTGTAAAAGAGGCAATACATTAAGAAAAGTTCATGTTTATTCAATTATGAGAGTATTATGGTGCCAATATAGCTAAATCTAGCAATTGTAAAGGTAATAACTTGGAGGTTGATGTAAAGTAAGCACTAACTATCCGTAATTAAAATGTAATACTTATACATGTCCTAATAATTTCGGATTTCGGATCGGATTAAAATATACCAATCCGATCCGAAATTTCAGTAAACACAATCCGAAATCCGATCCAATCCGAAATCCGAAATTGAATGGATCGGTTCGGATTTTGGATATCCAATCCGAATGAACAGCCCTAGGTTGAACGGGTGTCACACCTCCTTTTTTACACCCGAGGGTATATAGGGGAGTTTTTCCAATTAAAGTGACATTATTCGAAATGGGATTATTTATTCAAAATCACAGTCGCCACTTGGGATAAGTTACAGTGTCCCAAGTTACCGGTTTATTTAAAATCCCAAATCGAGGAAGTTTTTTTTTATTTTTAAAGTCTGCGAACCAGAAATTCTAGATAAGAAATTCTGTTAACCCGGGAGAAGGTGTTAGGCATTCCCGGGTTCCGTGGTTCTAGCACGGTCGCTTAGTGATTATTACTTGGCTTAAATTGTCTAATTACTTATTTTAGAACCTATGTGCATTTACCTTTTACCGCTTTTAATCACTTGATTTATTCGTAATTAAAGAAATGAGTTACGCGTACGTATACTCTTTTCTTTTGGCGCGTCAAAATCATGTCACGCGAACGTGTCCACGATTAGTAACGCTTTTTGTTGATTTATTAAGAAAGTTTTGTTGAAGTTGCGCAGATGCATCCCTCGAGTCTTTTAAGAATTAAATTTGCAATTATGTTACGCGAACGTATACATAATCACAATACTAGCCTAAATCGAGCCTAAAGCAAACTACGAGTATTTGGTATTTGTTAGATCTAAAATTATGAAGTTAATGCAAGGGCCACGTATTTTGGGGTTTTAATTATGCATGGCGCACCCTGAATGATTTCCTCTTATAAGGAAAATTAATTATTTAAGGTCAACTAGTACACTCCTATTTGGGACTTAATTCAACAAAGGATAACTAATTAATGAGAAAGGTCGCAGAATATTTTTGGGTAAAAGGGAATGGGCCAGGACAGGCCCCTACTAGATCAATTTGAAGGAGGTGAAGAAATGGGCTCACGATAAGGCCCAAAAACCAGAATCATGGGTTACAATTACAAGTTTTGAGACAAACAGCCCACGTTGGGCTTGGATTCCAGGCAGGCCCAATTGTGCAGTGGCACCGGCTGGCCTACCTACACCTCTTTGCCTTTTAAAACCATGGTATATATAAATCAAGAATTACAAGAGAATTTCTTTCCAGATTTTAAATTTTTAATCACAAAATTAGAGGCTAATCAGGATACCACTGTTTGTAAGCATAAGCTATTCATGGCTAAACTCCAAATTATAACTACTTGTTTATGAAAAACATATAATAAGAAATTAATGGCACGTCTTAATAGGGCCAGATCCATCCCACCTTTACGCAAAGAATGTTCATCAAACTTGAGGAAAAAAAACATGAGCTCAAAGCCATTTGGGCCTGAAATTAGGCCCTAAAGGCAAAGAGTGAACTCAAACAGAAGGCACCCCAAATATAACTTTCGACAGGCTGCTTTGACTTAAACTTAACCAAGTCCACATTAAGCATTCGAATTTCTGAAATTACAGCCAGAAACATCTTGATTCCATGAAGGTTGTTCACAGAATCATATTTAAAAACTTACCAAGAAACATACACTTAGGCGCATTAATTGCGACCCAGCCTATGAAACGTAAGTTCATATTCAAGCACTTAGACAGTACCATTATTACACAATTCTTAGTATTGAATGACAAACTTTACATCAATAATGAGCTTTGCCTTGCTGTTAAACTCATGCTACTGTTTTCTTAAAACAAGTGCGCAAAAATGATAAACTAATCTATTACTAAGCTATTACAGATTTATACTATAGAAGACTCTTGCTCCTTTTGAACATAGCTTTGTCCATAGCAGCCTCACCTTCTTTCCTTAACATGTAAATCCCACCTTAAAGCTCTCAAAGCCAATTGATCCAACCAACTGGTGGGTGAACCAACATGGCTACAGCTCATGACCAAACAGTCAAAAAAAGAAAAATGAAAACAGTATTTTGAGTGAAAGGAATCAGATGAAAGAGAGAAGAGAAGCATCATAAACAAAACCGAACCTAAATGCTGTTATGAGACACAGCTATTTGTGTTATTTTAACAACATTTTCCTACATATTGAAATGCATAGAAAGACACATGAAAAGCTGATGAAGAACAATGAACAACACATTAAGTTCTATTATTGAAACATACAATCATACACACATAGTCATGAATAACTTCAGATTTGCACAAAACAAGTTCATTCTCATAGCTAGAGTGTGGTTACATACCTATAGATGATTCAAAGAAAGGACCAAATAAAGGTCACTAAAACAGTTGAGCTTTCCAAAAGATAATGAGCAGCAGCAAACAGCAAATGATAGCTAAATCAGACCCATGTTCAGCCTTAGAAACCCAGAGATTTCAACCGAAGAAAACCAGGAGAGAGCCTTCTACTTCAAAACATCTTTTCAGCTTTTAAGGAAACCAAGGAGGAAAGTTTTTCTAATTAAATCATTCTCTATTCTGCCGAAAAGACTACTAATTAAACAACCATTCTCTGTGTGGTTGTTTAATCATTCTCTATTAAATTTGAAACCTAGCCTCTGTGTGAGTGAGTGTTGTTCCTTTTATAAAGTGTGCAAGAAATGGCATCAAAAGGGAATATTCTGACCTAAATTCCTAAATTTCAGAATAGTACAGCCCCTTTTGACAGCTGTATGTCCTTTTCCTCTTATCCAATATCAGCATTGGCTAAGGATTGGGACAGTTTTCCTAAGTTCTAGAATTTTTTGATTTTTAGCCTAGGTAAAAATTCAATTTTACCCTTTAAGTTACTGCTTATTTCAATTTTACCTAGACTCTTTTAATTCAAAATAAGTCCCTAAAGTTTCTATTAGTTTCCAAATCAAGCCAAACAACTTGAAATAAAGCAAAAGACGCATCAGATGTCAATGGAACAGTAGAAGTCACAAAGAACTACTGTATTTTAAAAATTGAATCAGCCTATCTTTGTTAAGACTGTTTTCTTTTCTTTCTAATTAACTACAGAAATCACAAGGAACACATAAAACCTGAACTAACCTATCATATAAAAATCTGAAAGTTGGAAGGAGAGAACACTTGATCAATTATGGGATCAATGCAATTTTAGCACAGAAGTTTGAACGACTACTAATTAAACAACCACTTTAAAGCTAAAATCAGATGACCATGTGTTTAGGAGACAGAATTATAACAATTATGAGTCTAGCATAAAACAACTATGATCATTCAATTCGACAAAATCTAACAAACCTAAACAAATTGCACATGCTTTAATTAAAACGGACATTAGGAACTAATCAACTAACACAAAAGGGCAAACAAAAGAAGAAAAAAAAAAACTAACATGCTACTAAAAGAAAAATTAAACGTGCATAGAAGGGACAAAAAGAACAAAATCAAACAATCAAAAGAAAGAAAGAAAAGGGATTTACTCGATCAAAATCGGCACAGGATCAAAAACAGGGCATCGACCAAAACTTCTGAGGTGTGATATGGACTTTGGACCAACATTAATTGACTGTTCTTGAAGAGGACAGTCAATTAATAGAGGTTTTAAGTCCATTTGACCAAACGCCGACCAGAAAAAGAAGAAAGGGAGTTTTAGGGTTCTTCCGCATCACCAGATCCAAAATTCGAGGCGCTCAGGGCTGATTCGAAAGGGGTTAAAGGTGGTTTGGGGTTCAGATAGGGGTAAGCATCATAGGGTGTGAATTTGAAACGATTTGGAACGGTTCAAGTTTTGGGCCGTGATTTTGATCTAAGATTCGAACAAATCTAAAGGGATTCGAGGGAAGCTAATTGGAGGTTAGGAATGAGGAGGTGAAGGGGAGTTCAGGGTGTAAATTTGGGGTCGATTGGACCACCGGAACCGCCGTGAGGCGATTTACGGTGGGTGGTTTGCGGCGGAGCGGCGGTGGAATATAAGGGCGGCTAGGGTTTGGGTCTCAGAGAGATGAGGGGTGAATGGAGGGGTTTGGTTTG